AACTGCATTGTGTTGGTTTCAAACTGCTGTGTGATGTTGTGCAGTGGAAGGCAGAAAGTGGCATGTTTTATTTGTATTTCATTAGTTTGTTGGCCCACCTTTTTATTCTATTTGGAAGCTGTAAGAAGGCTTAACAGCCCCTGATCTGCACTGTCCAAAATAAAAGGCGGGGAGGGTTTGGTGTGGGTGGGGAGGGCTCAGCAATGATCTGTAGCACTTACAGGCTCAGGCATTTTTACCATCATGTCATCTAAGGCTGCTCACAGTTGCACTGGCAGGCATCTGTGGTGAATGATAGGTCTTAAATTTGCCACAGCAGATGCAGTTTCAGTCTTCATTACTTAACTGGATCTGTGACCATGTGACCTACGTCACATTAGATAGGCTCCACCTTCTATTAAAGCTTATTCCATGAAAACAATCCTCTTGAGATAAGAGAGCTGATGCTCATCTCGAATGGTGTAAGGCAACCAGAGCTTGCTTACATACTGCAGTTTTTCATATCTTTCTAAAATTTGCTATATTAGTTACTGTTGATGCTGTCTCTGGAAAATGGGTCCTGCATGCTGCAGTTCATTAGTCTTAGACCTTTCTCTCTGCTTCCATCCTATCTATATGAGCACTAGATACTGTTGAAATTCTAGCTATCTAGACTGGTTAATTTGGTGTCTACAAGATCAGACACGACACTCCACACTGTTTTTTGTCGTGAAGTTGATCAGCACAGATTCAGAGTGAAGACTGCTATCTACTGAATCACCAAAGTCACTTCTGGCAAGACTTGTATTTTACCATAGGGCTCCTACCCAAGTATTAACCTAATTCAGCACTGCTTAACATAAATCTGATGGTAGGCCAAAGCAGCATAAACCAGGTTACTTCTTTTCCTTGTTGACTTTCCGTTCTATTTGCCTTAGAATGTTGTTCTGGCACCTTTCACCATAGTATCTGAATGCCTTCCATATTACTAGAGCAGCAAAGTGAGGTAGCTAGTAGATTTGACAGTATCTTTGGCTCTTCTCTTGTTGTAGGGAAGCAAAGGGGAAATGCCATTCTGGTTAGGCTAGAAAAACTCTCTCAAAAAGAGGATGGTCTTGCAGAATGACAAAGTGGCCAGAGTCTGTTCCTTCTTCATTTTTGTCCAGGATCATATTTCTACGAGCAAGTCCAGCTCCCCACCTCAAGGTCTCCCAATACGACGTTATTCCTGTGAACCAACTTCCCTTCCTTGTCAGCAATTTACTGAAAGGGGAGAGCGGAGAATCTGCAGTGTTTACTCTTGACTGAACAGCCCTGAATCAAAAGATGCTTGTGATTCAGGAATGTGGCTTTAAAACAAAAGTTGGTCCCTAATAAAAGTGACGGGGGGAGGGGGGAGTCAGTCAGGTGACCAGAAAAAATGTATTATATTTTTAAGCCATAAAAATAGAGTGAATCCAGATTTTGCCTTACCTTTTTAAGGATGAAACGAGTAATTTCTGAACAATGTAAGTGTCAGTTCACATATTTTCTATGTGTTCATGGTAGCATCCTATTTGGGTGTATAAATGGTACATTGGGATGGAAACACAATGTAGAATAGGTTTCAGAGTAACAGCCATGTTAGTCTGTATTCGCAAAAAGAAAAGGAGTACTTGTGGCACCTTAGAGACTAACCAATTTATTTGAGCATGAGCTTTCGTGAGCTACAGCTCACTTCAGTGCTGTAGCTCACGAAAGCTCATGCTCAAATAAATTGGTTAGTCTCTAAGGTGCCACAAGTACTCCTTTTCTTTTTACAATGTAGAATAGGATTTTACAAAAAGGACATTCGCTGATTGGCTGACTGTTTAGTTAAGTCAGAAATTTTCTTAATCATCTCTTTCATATTGTATTTAAGAATCATTCTTCTCTTGAACCTTGGGGGGTTTCTGGTTTTGTCACTCAGTTGTAACATAAGCAGTTGAAATTTAAGGCAAATACATTTATTCTAATTGTTACAGGTAAAATTGCAGGCAACTGTAAATAAAATGTTCAGCGACCAAACAGTAATGAGTTTAGGCTCAGCCCAAGTGACTAGGATATCTTAACTAATCAAACATGATTCAAGGTGATAGACTGCTTATATTGATGGTGTATGCAATAAAGAAGTGGTTTTTAGGGTAGATGGTCTAAAAATTAGCGTTGTTTAAAATATTATGGTATTACGTTTTGGATAATACATTTTTATTTACAAAATGCCCCATGATTGAAGGATTTTGTTACTAAAATGAATTTTAAGATGGACTAATAATGCGAACTATTTTTACAGAATCAAAAAAGGAGCCCCCTCAAATAAATCATACAATAAATATGTAAACTGGTGAGCAAATATACGAGCCAGCTTTGCATACATTCTCTGCAAATGCTTTAGCTCTTTGTGACAGCATACTTCCAATATGTTAGACGATAACAGCCTATTGTTGCAGGGACTACTTACTGAAAACATGTGAAATAGTGCTGTGCATTGGGTGGGTGAAATGGAACACAAGGCTTCTATTTAATCATATTATAATGAACTGGCCAGTGTTTATGCATGTACTGCTCCCTTCTAACCACTGGAATCAGAACTGCTGAACTGTGCATCATAGAGCCTATACTGCTAGTAATAACAGATAACAGAGAGTCTCCTTTAATTCAAATGATAGGGGTTTGAACTTCTGGCAAATGGGGATCTGATTCATATGTCCAAAGTTACATTTTGAATAACCAGTTATTTCATTGTGACTACATCTGATCTGAATTTGGATTAGATTAAATTTAGCCATTTTAGATTCAGATAAGCATTTCCCAATTTGAAAAAATAATCACTCTGCTGACTTGTCTAATAGCACATCCTCATCCTACAACTGGGTGCAGGAGGATGGACCCTTGTATCTGCACAAGGTCCCATTGTCTTCAATGGTGCTCTATTGGGGTGCAAGGGTCCTCCTGCATGGGAACAATTGCAGGATTAGTGCTCTAGGCTGCCCATTAAAAGGCTTGTAGTTCAGCTCTCTCCAAAATTTGGTCATAACTTTCTCTCCCCTGTGCTGATTGCCTAACTCCAATGCCTCCCAGTCCTCCCTTCCCTTTCCTTCCTTTGTCTTTCCATTTAGCTAATTCCCACCATGCACGCACCCTGCTTTACCAAACCCCACCCATGGAATTTAAAAACCAAAAACCAAAACAAACAAACAAAAAAAACCCAGAGGTGGGCAAACTACGGCCTGCAGGCCACATCTGGCCCACGGGACCCTCTTGCCTGGCCCCTGAACTCCTGGCCCGGAAGGAACTCCTGGCCCGGAACTCCTGGCCCTCCCCTGCTGTTCCCCCTCCCCCGCAGCCTCAGCTCACTGCGCCACTGGTGCAATGCTCTGGGCGGCGGGGCTGCGAGCTCTTGCTGGGCAGCGCAGCTACAGAGCCACGGCCTGACCCGGTGCTCTGTGCTGCACGGTGGCGTGGCTGGCTCCAGCCGGGCAGCAAGGCTGCCTGTCCTGGTGCTCAGGGCATCGCGGCTGTAGCGTCGCCAGCCACCGGTGCTCCAGATAGCGCAGTAAGGGGACAGGGGAGTTCAGGGTGGTGGTCAGGGGGTGGGGGTGTTGATAGGGATCGGGGCGGTCAGAGGGCGAACAGGGGGGTTGAATGGGGGCAGAGGTCCTGGGGGGTGGGGGAGTTAGGAATGAGAGGAGGGGTTGGATGGGGCGGCGAGGAGCAGTCGGGGTGGGACTCCGGGGGCGGTGAGGGGACAGGGAGGGATGGATGGGGCAGGAGTCCCAGTGGGGCCATCAGGGGACAGGGAACGGGGTGGGGCTTGAATGGGACAGGAGTCCCAGGGGGGCCATCAGGAGGCGAGAAGCAGGGGGGTTGGATGGGGGCGGCATCCGGGCCATGCCTGGCTGTTTGGAGGGGCACAGCCTTCCCTAACTGGCCCTCCATACAATTTCAGAAACCTGAAGTGGCCCTCAGGCCAAAAAGTTTGCCCGCCCCTGAAATAAACCATTAAACGTTAAAATAAATCATGGAACTAACATAACATTTGCAAACCATCACTCTGTTTGTTATATCTCTGCCAATCCCTTAGTATCCTGTCTATTTGGATCATCAGCTTTTCAGGATATGGTTTATCTCTTATTCTATGTTTGTGCACAACCTAGCACAATGTGTTTTATTAGTTAAATAAACTACCTTAAAATGTGCTGGATATATAAGATAAAATATTTTTTCAAAACATATTTTATATTTAAAACTAAATGATTAAAAAACGTTATGTCCTGGCCATGACCAACGCTCCTAGGCACTACAATAATACAAGTAAATAAATAAATAATAACAATAATAATCAGTAGTTGGTGATTGAACTGGTTATTTCTGGTCACTGTGTCTTTCAAGACTTTAAAACTGGCAGAACTCATCCCCTCACACCTGGTGTTTGTTCACAGAGTTGAACAGAAAAACAAGCATTCCTGCTTTTTTAGCTCCCAATCAGTTTCTTAAACATTGAATGAACTAGTCATTGAACTAATTTAGCTGAATAAACAAATGAAGAAAAATTCCCTCTGCACCTGTAGAAAAGACTACTGCTGTCAAATGCTGGATTAGTGCTTCAATTAATTCTGTTTAAGGTGTTTAACCAGTGACTTCCACCAGTTCAGTAATTTGATTTTCTTTAAAACTTCAGCAGCACACAATTACTTATTTTTTTAAAAATTCCATTTACATTGTTTTAATATATTATGGTAAATATAGGCCTTAACATAGATGGTTATAATTTCAATTTTAAATTGTTTTATTTTAAAATGTATTTTTAAACTAATAGAAGACTTTTTATGAAAAAAACATTCCACCCTAACACAATGACATTTTATGTGAAACAAATTCTGTCCCCATGCTTGCCATTCATAGTGACATCTATTAAGCTCTCAAGCAGCCATGCATTTGTCAGATTATTAAAATCACACTGCAAGTAGCCTTGTATTCAAAAAGAGAAGTAGCAAACTTACTTCAATACTGAAGTATCCTCTGTCCACATAGTCCCCCAAGAAGAGGTACCGTGTGTTGGCAGGAGAACCTCCTACTTCAAACAGCTTCATCAAATCGAAGAATTGTCCATGGATGTCGCCACAAACTAGGAGAAATTAAAATAGTTTGTTACATCATCAGTTCAATTCATTTTACCAGGTTAAGCACACACAATTTTAAAGTGTTTACCTTCATAATAAAAATGCTGTATTATATTCTATTGTTCACCAGCTATTTTCTGTGTGCCAACTTACGATTTATATCTACACTGACATGATTGGTGAGGGTTGGCTGCCAGTCAGCAGAAATTGATGACAATTCCTGGTAAAAACATCACCATTTTTCACTTTTGCATGCATCTACATATATTGTACAAAAGGTTACCACATGATTAAATAATGCTTTTAGACTGGAGTTTTACAAATGACTTGAGATTATTAAAATATATTAATGCATATTTTATTTTTTAAATGCCCATCCCTTGCTATGGCCACTTTGTGCAAAGCATAAAATATTGATAATTAAAGGACCCATCAAAAATATCCAGAATAAGAAAACACACTAAACAAATTAGTCCCTTCAAACAGTCTCGTTCCCTCCTCCAATCATCACTATGCCTACCTGCCCTGTCCCCAAATCCATGTAAATATCAGCAGACCTTGCGGCATGCATGGAAGGTCAACAAACAAGGTAGTGCAACATAACTGATTGGTTTATTCACACAAAAGTCTCTCACTTCTTACAGAGTCAAAATAGGAAGAAACATGACAGAAAAAAATGTACTACTTCTCTCAGTGCATGCTTCCAAATAATTGGGCACACTTTTGTGCTTAACAAGCAATAAATTCACATAAGCTTTTGCATCAATTTCTGCATAAAGGTCTTACTTTCCTATTAAAATCATGCCTCAAAATTATTTCATGCTGTGAAGAAGCTGTAATCACTTCTCCACACAGACTCAGTACTACAACAACTGTAATGAAGTTCCACCAAATTAACAACCGCACAACAATACAAACATCAATAATATCTCATTGTCTCGTCACAGTATAGTGTCACATATTCTTTACTTTTAGTTACAAGAAACCAGACTCTCTTTTTCAAAGTACAGTATGTAAGCTGGTTTAGGACAGCTCCAGCCAAAGCTCTCACCCCCTCCTGCACTCGAACACTCTTCCCCAGCCCGGTGAAAGTGAATGAGGGTGAGGGAGAGCGAGCAACAGACAGAGGAGAGATGGAGTGAGTGGGGGCAGGGCCTCAGAAGGGGCGGGGCAGGGCAGGTCCATGGGGAAGCGGTGGGGTAGAGACAGGGCAAGGGTGTTTGGGTTAGTGCAATTACAAAGTTGGCAACCCTAAGTAGAGCAAATAACAAAATATAGCAAAGGTGGTGATCATGCATACCTTACTCTCATGAGTACCAATGTGAAGTTAGAGGTACCATTTATGAGTTAGAACTGCAGGATCAGCTTCTATGCTCTCTTTTATCCTTTGCTGTGCATTGCTGTACACCATGAAGTAAAGACTGCATAACTACAGCCTTATAAAAAAATAAGTTTCTTCCATCAAATAGCGTAACTACAGAAAGACTAGTGCTCAGTTTTGTATTACATTGTGTAATCTTTTCTTTCCAGGTGACATTTTATTTTCATGAATTTTGAGATGGGAATCTTCAAGTGTTACTTAAGACACCTTCATCTGAAAGTGATTTCCTGCAAAGGATAATAACTATCATTCTATAACAATGCAAAAATAAAGTTTAAATTTAAATCCTCACACAACATGATGGAAAAGCTGTCTTTGTGAAGTCATTTTTTTTAGATATGAAGCTGTCATTATCTGCAATGAAGGAAAATTCTGGATCAACTTTATTTATGTCATTGGTTTAGCTTGCAAACTGCTTCAAATGGGCTCTGTTCCTCTGTGTACATATAGTGAGCAGAGAAGAACAGTGAGCCAGAACATCTGCCCTCTTCAATTCAGACTGAGAAACTTTTTAGTATTATAAAGCAGTACAATTCTAACAATTAAAAATGCATGTAAATCTGAAATGTAACATGGTTGAGAGATTCTGAATGTACTTAACTTAGGTTTATCATGACTACAGGAAAAGGCAAAAGCTCCTTCATGTTAACAGGGGTGTGTCTATATATATGTGTTTGCAATGGTGAAGGGGTCATTTCAGAGAAATTCATAAGTAAGACTTGCTTAGAAAGAAATCTTTCTATTTCCATCAATTTGTTATAGGTGGAAATGAAGAAGAGAGTACAACTATAAACAGGATGGAGAAAAAATAAAATTTGCAGAACCCTGTCCATTCAAGTCTATTATTATTATTATTATTATTATTATTATTAAGTAGGTGATGAAAATTCCTGTTAATTTACAAACACAGGATCCAATTCTCATCTTATTCATGATTGGCTTCAGAAAGTGTCTATCCAGAAACTGCTTTCAGAAAAGACGCATGAAAACCAAAAGGAAAAAAAATTAAAGTAACAGTTTACTCCTAAATAACAGGAACAAGCTCTGAATTATAAGCATAAAACTAGCAGGGAATCCTGTCTGCAGAAACTGGAAAGATGTGGCTTAAGAACAGATGACAACAGATGAGTTATGATCAAATATTAAGCCCATGTCCCAAAATTTCAGTAATAAGGTCAACATTTTACATACAGTTAATCAGATCTGTATTTTATATGGACTATCATAACGAGGGCTGAAGAACTTTTCATTTTCATGGTTTTAATATATACTTTTAAAATATCCTGTCACCATCCTATTTGTGTCCTAGTTTTTGGTTGGATGTTAAGGTTTGGAACTGGAGAATGGAATAGGAATTTCAGAGGAACTGTGAAAAAACATAACTGATTTGATAGGTTATTTTTGGGGTGCTGTTCACCTACCCTTCACCCCTCAGTTATACTTTTCAAGTTTTGGAGACTCTTGGACAATAAACATAATTATTTCTGATTTTCATTTGGGGGAAAGAAATGTTTACTTGCTATTTTTACCTCTCCCTTGCTCCCCCTTTTTCTCATAGGCGGTCTCCTTTCCTGGTTGTAGGAATATGGAATAGAGGGTCAGATCTGATGGGGGGATGATAAGGACAATTAGTAGCACCTATTGGCATCTGCCACCTGCTTCCACTGTCAAGAGGGATCCAGAATCTGAAGAGGTCTGGAACCAGTAGGGGCTACTCGTACAGCTCATTCTTTCCCACTCCATTATGAGAGGAGCACATGAAGAGAACTAGATGGGAGGCTCATAGAATGGATTGAGGCTGGGAGACTAAGCCCAAATGACAGCACTAGCAATTCTTTGGGAATGGAGGAACCTCCAACCCCCTCCTCTGCTATAAAAGTGAATTGCCTTAGGCCCTGCTAACTGCCTCTCAGGGCTTGTCTATACTTACAGTGCTGCAATGGTGCAGCTGTGCCGCTGTAGTGCTTAGTGAAGACTCTACCTTCACTGATGGGAGAGCATCTTCTGTCGGCAAAGCAAGGAGCAGTAGCTATGTCAATGGGAAAGTCCCTCGCGTCGATATATCGCTCTCTACCCTGGGGGTTAGGCTGGTGTAATTACATTGCTCAGGGGTGTGGATTTTTCGAGGTAGTGATACCAACATAAGTGGATAGTGTAGACCAGTGGTTTTCAAACTGCGGGTTGCGACCCAGTACTGGGTTGCGGAATGGAAGGCATTGGGTTGCGGCGGCTGTGGTCAGCACCACTGACCAGGCCATTAAAAGTTCCATTGGTGGTGCTGCTCGGCTAAGGCAGGCTAGTCCCTACCTGTTCTGACACCGTGCTGCGACCTGGAAGCGGCCAGCAGCAGATCCGGCTCCTAGGCGGGAGGGCCACGGGGCACTGTGCGCTGCCCCCGCCCCAAGCAATGGCACTGCACGATCGGGGGAGGGGCGATGCCTGCAGGCGAGAGCCAAGTGGAGCTGGACTTGCTGCTGGCCACTTCCGGAGCGCAGCACGGTCCGCAGTGCCAGGACACGCAGGAAGCCTGCCTAAGCACCCCTGCTGTGCCACTAACTGGGAGCTGCCTGAGGTAACCCCGTGCCCCAACCCCGCACCCCAGCCCCCCCAAACCCAGAGCCCCCTCCAGCACCCCAAGCCCCTCATCCCCAGTCCCACCCCAGAGACTGCACCCCCAGCCCAGAGCCCCCTCCCACACCCTGAACCCCTTATTCCCAGCCCCACCCCGCAGCCCCGCACCCTAACCCTCTGCCCCAGTCCTGAGACCCTCCCACACCCCAAACCACTCATCCCCAGCTACGTTGGGTTATGGACATCAACAATTTTCTTCAACTGGTTCGCCAGAAAAAAAGTTTGAAAACCACTGGTGTAGACCAAGTCTCAGATTCTTATGTCTACAGCAAAAATCTATGAACCTGAGCAGATGCTCGTAAAATAGATTGAAGATTCCATATCCCTGTCCATATCCATATCCCTGGATAGCTTTTAAAAGAAAATACCCCACCCAAATTGAGGGAGGAATATCAAAGCCTAATAAAATAAGGAACAAACTCACTCTGTTTCCTTCTCAGACGTTCCTCAGCTACATTTCTAAAATGTATAGCTGTAGAAGGAAAAAGCTGCCACGTATTCTATTCATATAGAATTTCTGAGGGAAATCAGTGGCCATTAGTTTTGGGCTATGTTAGGCATCGTATTTTGGCAAAGGAGACCAACCCATTTATAATTGGTGGATATGGCAAGGATAGAGAAAAAATGAATAAAACACCACAAAAATATTTTCCATTCAGAAAGCCAGCAAAACCACTAATCAACTACTACCATGTATTACAATTGCCTTCTTATGGGACATGACAGGGTTAGCAAGATAACACTCTGATACTATTAGATCAATAGGCATGATGCAGCGAACATTATTCCGCATCCCCTCCACAGTGCCTGCCTTACAAAGCTCTTTTCTCAGGTACAAATTAACTCCCTTTAAGAGGTGCTTTATTCAAATAAAAGGTTTAAAAGAATGGTAGTTACTATCTTGTAATAATTTCTCATCTGCAGGCATTACTATAGCATTTGAGGTCCTCCAATTTCAGTCAGAAGTGGGTGCCTAACTTTCCTTTGCGTATT